GCTTGAAAACATGGATAACATCACTTTTATACTTAATGGGATAAATCCATGTGAATAAAGAGAAGTCATCAATAAAAAGCACAAAGTAGCGATAACCATTGAATGACAAAATAGGAGCAGGACCCCAAACATCAGTGTGAATTAAATCAAGAGGTTTAGAGCTACGATGAAAAGTAGAAGGTAAACTGACCCTATGTAACTTCCCTAAACAACACGCCTCACATTTATCAGTGGACGTGGACACAGAGGAATAAGGAAGTTGAAACTGCCTAACCAAAGTACGAAGAGTGACATTATTAGGGTACCCTAAACGAGCATGCCACTGACCTAAAGAGACAAGATAAGCTGCTGGAGACAAGGAACCACGAGCAGGAAGATCTAAGCGATAGAGACCATTATCAGCCCGATCGCAGAGGAGGAGTTCCTTGGTCGAAAGATCCTTAACACAACAAGAGTCAGAATAAAATTCAAAAAAACAGTGATTATCACGGGTAAACTTTTGAACAGATAACAGAGGCTTAGTAAGAGAAGGAGCATGCAAGACACGATTTAAATACAGAGGACGAGAAAACGATGGCAAAACAGATTGACCAACATGCTGAATAGGTAAAGCATCTCCATTACCAACTAAGATATGATCTGTACCAGTATAATCATTGGAGATACTGAGAGAGGACAAATCTGGCGTGACATGATCGGTAGCACCAGTGTCCGGATGCCAGGGAGTGACAGAAGGGGTATACTGCGTCATATGGGCTTGAGGAGACATAGTCGACTCCGGGTAAGACGGAAGAGGCAACAAACCAGCTGAAGGCGGTGCAGGAGAACCTGCCTAGCATAAGCAGCCGACCGAACGGCAGGGGGTCGAGGAACAAAATTAGTATCAAAACAGCGGCGACAAGTGGCGGTTGTGTGATTTAAGATGCCGCAAAGCTGACACGTCTCACCCGGAGCGGGAGGGGTGTACCCACGCCGACCACCACCACGACCAGAAACCTGATTGCGCCGGCCGCCGCGTTACGAGCGACCGGCACGAGAGGATTGAGGCGGTGTAGGAGAAGGTGGTGACTGCACAAGCATGGCCGTGGGCTGAAGGACCGGCTGTTGGGCGTGAAGAAGCACCTCATACGAAACTAACTGTCCAAGGAGATCTTGATAGGAGGGGGGTTCGGATCGCTGTTGCAGAGCTCCGATGATGCCATTGAATTCGGCACCAAGCTTGCGGAAGATTATGGCATTAAACTCCGCAGGAGATATGCGATGACCGGCAAGCTGCAGTGTATCGGCGATGCCCTTCGCTTTGGAAAGGAGAGCCGTGACCAACAAGTCACCTTTTTGCAAGCTGTGGAGCTCCATAACAAGCTAGGTCTGTTGAGCATAAGAAAGAGTGCCGAAACCCTGCTGAAGAGCTGTCCATGCAGCCGCCGACGTTGTGCAGCCCTGGAGAACGGGAAAGATCTCTTCAGCAACGGAAGAAAGAATCCAAGAGAGGACCAACTGATCCTTTTGCTACCAGATATCAAACTCAGGATTGAGTTGGGGCACGACACCATAACGGAAGGAAGAAATCGTGGCGGTGCAGGTTCGGTGCCGTCGACAATACCGGCAACACGAAACATAGTCAATAAAGGAGTAAACTGAAGACGCCTAGACGAATAGTTGGCCCGAGATTGCAGCTTCACATTAAAGGAATGATTGAGAGATTGCATACTAGGTTGAAGAATTGATACTGATGTCTGTGAAGAAGATACCGGTGACCGAAGATGAGTAGCCTGGTCGGCGGATGAAAGGTCGGTGATAGTCATCGTTAAAAATAAGCAAGCAAAACTGAATTTTTTTTATGATTTTTTTTTTGTTTTTTTTTTGTTTTTTTTTTGTTTTTTTTTTCTTCTTTTTTTTTTTTTTGTTTAACGATTTTGTTTAACAATCCACGGCAACGAAACGACCAACACCGAACGAAGAGCAGGAAACGGCGGCGGCAAAGACCACGTCAGGAAGCACGCTATGAAATGTGATCACCGTCAGGAAGCTCGCCGGCGGCAGGGAAAACAGCGGCAGCAGCAGCACCGGCAACGGAGGAAAGCAGACCGGCGGCAGCAGCAGAACCACGGACCGACGAAAGCAGCAGCAGCAGCACCACCCGACCGCAAGTAAGGGAAGAACGCCGACGAAGACGACCGACGGCAGCAGCAGCACGAATTGGAAAAGCTTGGAAGAACGCCGGCGATGCTGAGCTTGGTCGACGGGAAGAAGAATAAGGGGTCTGGGTGCTGGACGACGAAAGCACACGCTGACGAAGAAAGAAAGAGGCCAACTGTGAACGGCCGACGACGAAAAAAGAAGGATTCGGCCGACGACGGCGGAAGAAAGAGGCCGATGACGGCGGATGGGGTGTGAACGGCCGAAGAAGAGGGATTCGGCGGGGGAGGGGAGAGAAAAGAAAAAAAAATAGGTTTTGTTAAACCTAGCTCGATACCAACTTAGAATAGGAAAATTGTATTGATACATGATCTATTGTACACAATATACAGACTATATATAGACAATAAGAAACCCTAAACTAGAACGTAATAGGAAATATACTAAATACAATACAAGAAAAGCTAAAGTTTGGTGAGGAAGAATATAATTGTTAGGTTAATATTGATCCATGTAATTTGCTGTAATTAGACGAATGATCACAATCCAGGGATTGAAATACGCGGCAGATTTTTAGCATCGACATCGTTAATATTTGACTTTTTGAAACTTTACTAATTGATTATACCCACACTAGCTAGACCGTACAAGTTCGGTAGGGTAAACTCTCGTAACTTCGTACGCATAGTTGATTGAGATTTTTTTTTTTTTTTATGAGGTATATAGTATTGAGATTAGTTATTATATGTAAATGTTTTACTGGATTCTTTAAAGCTAATTTGTTGGCCAAGAAAAGCAAGCTAATTACCCAACTCATACACTAATCTTTGGTATTCTATTCTTAGATTTTCAATGAAATGTTCTAGTTGAATAATGATACGTCCTCATACCAAACTGTACCGCTCCTTCTATCAAAAATAAAAAATAAAAAAAAATAATCCAGATTGAATTTTGAGACAGTAGTAATTTTCTTCCTACTCAATTTTTTTATACTACTCTCACCGTGGAGGAGGCAGAACGAACCCTAAGAGCTAAAATCAAGCCTAACCTAGGTTAGTGGGGCACTACAGTGTACACGGGGGCTTCTATGATTTTAGGCTGCGAATTTGGACTAATGGGAGTCTCTACCAAATAAATGTAGGATCAAATCCACTTCAGATTTCAGGTAAGGGTGGGTAATTCTTATAAGAAAATAATGGTACTGAATTTAGGACTTTAGGTTATGAGGTCGAGCAAAATGACTGCACTTTAGAGTTTGAACTAATAAATCATTAAATTGTTTATCAAGTACTTCTATATTCCACAAAAGTAGTGTACATTTGAGTTTGTAAATTATATTTAAAACATTTCACATATAATTAGATTATTTTTCTGAAACGCAAATGATCCTAATTTTGATTATGAATTAATATTAAAGTAATTAAGCTAAAGCTCGAAAGAAATTTATCTAAACATCTATCTTGCGATAATATTACTGGATCAGGCATTATGTTTATATATGAAATAAATTTTGTAATTGCCAAAAATGACTTCAACTAATTCTATTTGCTCATAGTAAAATAAACACCTTCCGATTCTTTGTGGTTTGAATGATATCTAATATCTATCATGTATATCTTCAATACGTACGGTTGTTTTCTTTTCATCCATTTAGGAATTATCTTTCTAAAAATTAAGGGGTGAGAGGATTGGGTGGGGTGGTTAGAAGATTAGGATGTGGATAGTTATTATTGAGAGGTCGAGGATTTGATTCTAAAAACAAAATGTTTGTAAAAATTAAAACAAAGGAAAAGAAAGTACAAAGGGAAGTTAAATGGGTGGTATGACTTAAGAGCATGGTTTAGACTTGAGATTCAGGCAATTAATTTAAGAGGAGCCATATGCCTGCATGTTAATGGTGGGCTTTCTCAATTTATTCTAAATCTAGTATATTGGAGTTTCAAGTTGACGGTCGTTTGCTTTATACTTTCAGCTTTTTTCTTCTTCTTTTTTTTTTTTCCTTTTTGTGCAGATTTGTTTCCTTTTACCTTGGGATTTCACACATTTTTATGCGTTAAATAATTTTTTTTAAACACTAGCGTTAAATAATTATTAAGTTCACTGAGATCACTTTCCTAAAACAACAAGCCTAGCTTGTTACTTTGATTAGTTCTTACGTGAGTATACATCATCAAATAGAAATTATTGACCTGTTACGTTGCTATTAAAAATTGTATGCTTTGAGGAATATGTTCACATTGTACATCTCAAGCATTGACCTTAAAGTTCTCCCTTCGAATCGAATAGTTTCAAGCATTAATTTAACTGGTTCTCCTTGTCTCTTCACATCCAACCCACCCCTAAGTAACAAGTGAAATCACGATGATACAGAACCCCGAGTCGAAGAGGTTATCTTGTAGAAAAGAAAGGCGCAAATCAAAAGAATAATAATAGAAACAACACAAAAATAGTGTCATAAAAGCTGTAACCTTGTTTTAAGAAAAAATGTACCAGTAGTCCTTTTTTAAGCCTATAGCTTAATCACTAGCACGTAGCCTGAAATCCAATTTAGATCACTGTTCCCAAAATAGTATAAGAACACTATCCATGCATGCACTTCAATTAAACCTTAAAACTAAAGTACCCGATTTTTAGGTTTGAAGAAATCCTACAAGTCTTGTTAATTTTTTTGAAAAGGTAAGTTTTGTTAATTAGTTGAAGTAATAGTATGTTTTCCGGCGGGGATTGCTTGCTTTTGATTCAAATTGCCTCCTACCTTTCACACACACTTCCTCCCACGTCCTTGGTCTTAAATTTTCAGAACAAAAATCCAACTATAAATACTCCAGTCTAACCTCCTCATTTCTCCAATCTAAGTCCATCAAACTTAAACTGACCATATCATACAAAAATACTCTCAAATTAAGGTAAAAAAATGGAGCAGCCCATCAATCTTTTCTTGTTACATGTCTTTTCTTCTTCTTCTTCAATCAACCAAGATTATCAACTGCCATTGATAGCCAAAGTATAAAGATTAATGTTATGCCTTTGGGAGCCAAACCAGATGGAAAAACCGATTCGACAGCGGCGCTTGTGAGAGCATGGGATGCAGCTTGCGACTCTCCTAAACCGGCCACCATTTTTGTACCAAAGGGAGGTTTTGGTGAAGCAAAAGCTCAATTTTCGGGTCCATGCAAGACTGGAGCAATAATAATTAGGATTGACGACTCAATTATTGCTCCTTCAGATTACAGTGTTCTTGGTGATGCTGAATTTTGGCTTCAATTTAAAAAGGTGGATGGAGTTTCAATTCTTGGTGGAGTTCTTGATGGCCAAGGGGCCGGTCTCTGGGCTTGTAAATCCTCCGGCAAGAACTGCCCAACCGGTGTCACGGTATGTTTATATTAGGATATTACCCCTGCCCATTCTAAGAGGGGTTAACTGTCTTCGATGGACATTAATTAATTCGAGGAAATTTTTGTCAATTTGTGTTTTGGTAGCTACCACCTTAATTGACACTACAATATTAGTACTCTCATAATTATTGTTCAGTTTGAGTTTTCATTTCTAGTTCAAATTGTACTAAAAATGAAATCTGAAATTGAACAATAATTTTAGGACAGAGGGAGTATTAATTTTGAGTACCTGAACGGTTTCCTTTTGGAGTTTTGGAATGCCAACAGTTAAACTAGTGGGGGAAGTGGGTGGTTTTTCAACAGTTCCAACTTTGACAAAATTGACTTTGGAATTAAAACGGCTCTTATAACTTCTCCCTCATCGACACATACATACACATAAAGTTTGGTTTCTTTTAGCTTGGAAGAATTTTGTTTACCAAAGATATTTATTCGACTCGAATTTTTATTAGTTATTTAAATTTGCATTACTCCAGAAAGTGATTTACGGCATTTCAGTGGGTAACGCATCAAAAAAAAAAAAGTCATGTTACTTAAAAACAAAAACTTAAAATATGTTTGACTCTTCTGACTTCGGGTTTCAGGAAAATTTACTTTTGAGGAAATGGTAAGTTTCCTTGGTGAAGAGATAATCTAAACGCACTTTTTAAAGGCATTTCACACCTAACTAAAGATGTCAAATTTTGCTTGATATTCAGTATTGATCAGGGGCTTTAAAAAATAAATAAATAAATAAAGTATTGATCAGGGGACTATCCGAGTATAATTAAGTCGCTATATATATCTTTTACAGACTCTAGGATTTTCGAAGTCAAACAACATTGCCATTTCTGGCCTAATTTCCCTCAACAGCCAACTGTATCACATTGTGTTCAACGGTTGCAACAATGTTAAGTTACAATCAGTAAAGACTGGCTGCCGGAGACAGTCCCAACACCGACGGAATTCACGTCCAAATCTCGTCCGACGTCAAAATCTTGAAATCGAAACTCAGTACCGGCGACGATTGTGTTTCCATTGGCCCCGGAACAACCAATTTGTTGATTCAGGACGTCATTTGTGGTCCTGGCCATGGCATAAGGTAACTCTTTTTTTAAATAAAAATAAATACAATTCTCATTGTTTAAACTAATTTATTTTGTACCATAATAATTTGAATTCCTTCTTTTGCAGCATTGAGAGTCTTGGAAAAGATTTTGAAGAAGAAGGCGTGCAAAATGTGACAGTAAAAAGTGTGACATTTGTAAATACTTAGAACGGCGTGAGGATTAAATCATGGGGAAGACCATGTAACTACAAGAAACTGGAGGTTTAGTCACAATTGATATCTTATCACTAAAATATTGTCATTATAGCTATGGTTTAATGACAATTTTTTTCCTTAATGACAAGTTAATATTCTTGTCACTACACGCCCCTATAATGACGATCTATATCTTGTCACTAGTTTTAGTGACGACATGTTAATGACAACATTTGCCTTGTTGGTAGAGTAATCAATATTGACGATTTTTCTTTGTCGTTCTGCTGTGACAAGTATATGCTGTCACTGAAGAATGGAAACGGTGATGTCCAAGAATGTTGCAGTTAGTAATTGTAATAGATATGACACCCTAATATAGTGGCATGCCCTGGCATCTTAGAAGAACAAAATTGTGGTAAAACCAAATAGTTTCATTCGAATTTTCCTCTCAGAAAACCAAATTGTTTAAAAATATTAGACCAAACCGTTTATAAAATTGAAACTGAACTTATTAGTCTGGTTTAGGATTTTTCCTACCAAATAGACTGCTTAAAAACGTTGGACTAAACTGTCAGATCATTTGTAACCAATTTAGGGCTTGTTTGATAAAATCACTTAATGTTAAAATTAGTGAATTAAGTATTTATTTTTTTGTTTCAGCATGTTTAATGACAAAAAATGAAACTTTTTAACAAAATAAGTGGTGATGAAACTGCAGTATAGATTCTAAGTAATACAAGTCAGCTTATTGCTTTTTCCTTAACTGCTTAATAAATTCAGTATTTCTGTTTCAGATAAGCAATCGAATTAAACAATAATTTTTATCAAACAGGCCCTTAGTCAAGCTGAGTTAGACAACTTGGGCCCTAAGTGGGCTTTTTAGAAGTCCAAATTTTCAACTCTAAAAATTTAATTTATATCTCTTAATAATGGTATAAATTTTTTTATTTCTTGAAAAGCCTAAGTTTATTTGTTAAAAATATAATGGCTCTCATTTTTTTTATCTCCAAAGCCCACGAATTATTTCATAAAGCCCAAAAAGATTCTTAAAATTAAACATAAAATTCCTTAAACGCCCATTTCTTAAAAACCTACATAATTTCTTTAAAAATAGCCCATATTTTCAGACCCTAAAAGCCTGCTATCTGTTTCATAAAAACCCATGAAAAGAATAAGTTTAAAAGTGCTTTATGGCCCATATTTTTAATCCCTAGAGGCCCAAGGAAAAAAAAACTTAAAAGTAGCATTGGGCATATTCGAACCCAAGATCATTTAATGTAAAAGAAACCACATTACCAATAGAACACTTGATAATTTGTGTTAAAAGATGATAAATAAATTTATATATATTTAAGTGTGTAACCGTGTCCATATAGACAAATATAAACATATATATATATATAAATATATTTTTACACATATACATACATATATATATACACACACATAATTAAATATATATGGGCAAAATGTGTAAGTGTCTCCATACCATACATATGATATATATACAGTCTAGCCTAGTCTAAATCATTGTTTTCACAATCAGAGCGAAATCAGATCAAATAATGAAAAAAAACCTTACTGACCTTCAATTTTACATACTCGAAAGTGGTCAAATTTAACCGGCACGACCGATTTTTAGCCAATTTTAACCGAGCCATGCACACCCCATCCTAATATATGAATTCTTTACAGAACTTTGACTTAAACACATATTATTAACTCTAGTAAAATAACTCGTTGAAACACTGAAATATAAATACCTTGTAGTTAAATTCTTAAGTATATATACTATTTCAGTCCCATAATGATTGTCCAGTTTGGGATTTTTTTTTTTAAAAAAAAGAACAAAGTAGCAGGCATAAGCTTAATGTTTACACGACTACATTTTGTTGGTATGCAAACTCGATTAAGTCATGTGCTAGCTATGATTTTACAATAACAGGTTGTTTTAACAACTCAGCATATCCTCAATTAAGCAATTAAACAAGTTGACTAATAAATTACGTACATTAGTTGAGCTATAAAGAGAAAGAGACCACTAATACTATTAACTGAAAAAAAGATTTGTTTTAAAAAAGCTAGAATAAAATTTTAAATATTTTGGAAACAAAGATTAACTTCATTAATGGAAAGAAAAATAAAAAAAATTTGGAAAAACAAAACATAGTTGAGCAAAAAAAGTGGGCGGGCTATTGTACAGTTTAGTTGGGAGGGAAATTTGTCTTAATATTTTAGATGGAGGGAAAAGGGGGCAGACCAATTTTCACAAGAAACGAGGCCACTGCACACTTTTTGGTCCCTCTTTTTGGCTAAGTAATGAATTTTTCTTGTTCGAAACAGGCCGGCGTATTCATTTTTTCCCAAACTCCACCAAAAACTCCACCAAAATCAACTACTGGGAGAAGCCCTCACCGTTCCAATTCAACTCATCGACGGCTGACCGTTTTCAGCTAATCAGCGGTCTCCCCATAGTTCTATTCAGTACCCCATAGTCAATAAACCTCCAAAGTCAATTGCAAAACCTCATTGTGAATTCCCTATCTGACCGGAGCTAGCTCATCATTGATTCCTTGTCTTATCATCCTCCATGTGCTCACACTTCCCTCTAGTGTTTACTCCAAGTATCAGACTTCTAATCGCGCAATCCTCTCTACATTTTTCGGTAAATACGGTAAGCATTTCTATGTTTTTTTTTTCGGAAAAGAGGAATAATGGCTATCTTCAAATGGAAATTATTATTGTTCGGTGTTCCTTGTAAATCTCTGTATATTGAAGTTCAGATTTACTGTAATGCTCTTTTGTGATTTCTGGATATTTTTTCTGTTTCTCATCGGTGATTCTGTTCTTTTTGGGGTGATCTGATTTTGCTTCAATTAGATCTTTTGAAATCAACTTTTTTTTTTTGCAGTTTCAAAATTATTTATAAATTGAATGTAATGTGTAAATGGTTTGAAAAAATTATGCGATTTTCAAGTTTCTTTTGTTTATCCTTGTTGAATTAGTTATATCTACACTTTGTAAATTAGCATTTGTGCAGTTATCACCCAGTTCCTTGTTACATCTTATGTGATATATGCACAAAAAGATTGGATCTTTAAGCTTAAGGCTAGACACTTCTTATCTTGATGTTGTCTGTTCTCATTTCTAGTGGACTTCCAGAAGTAAGGTAAAGGAAGTTATGTAGCTTATTGGTCTCTTTTAGTTTATATATACTCGATTATTCAGGTTTTTGGTGTGCCATTGAACCAACCTATTTAAGCTTTAATCTCAACCATAGGCAGAGGAAATGCTATATTTATCCTTGTTGAGTTCAATGCTGAATCCTGATACCGCTGAACTTGTTGCTTTTTTACTTTATTGCTTCATATGATCATGCCACCACTTGTTTCTTTCTGTAATCTTCAAAGTGGACTCTATATGGAGTTTTGGACAGAGGTTCTTATACATATTTTTCATTTGTCTACTGGAGTATGTATCCATAGAATCTCTTTTTATGGTTGCTGATTGTCTGCTGGAGTAATGTAAAACTGATGTCAAATTGTGAAGTCTGGATTCGAGCCGATTTAAAAAAAAAACACTGTTCTTATGCATTATTTTCATGTTACATGAGATAATCTTTCCAACGATTAGATATTTAAGGCACTTATATATTGACTCTATGCAGGAAAAAGCATTCTAAGGAGTACTAGAACTTTGCTTGCATTCTTATCCTTCCACCTTATGAATCCTTTGGTGTGCATACTTTAAAATGTCCTCATTATTTGTTCTTTCCCACGGGCAGAAGCATAATGACCATACAACTAGTGACTTTTAGTTACGTCTTGAATGCCCCTAAGTAGTAATGTCTATTTGGGTGTTTCTCAAATTGGAATTCATGTCATTTTGGATGGTTTCTAGCTTTATTTGTTGAAGGATTTCCTCAATTTGTGATTAAAGACTCTTTAAGAAGTTATGAATAAAGAGGTTCGCCAAGTATTAATTGAGTTGAGTGATTTCTTTAAGAAGTTATGTTGCAGAACACAATATGTAGATGTCTTGGAGGAGCAGGAAAGAAATATTGCAGTTATACTTTGTAAGTTGGAACGAATTTTCCCGCCTTCCTTTTTTGATATCATGACGCACTTGTTGGTTCATCTACCTACAGAAGCTAAGATTGCAGGGCCACCATAATATCGCTGGATGTTTCCTTTTGAGAGGTAAGTACTTTGTTTTTTTAAAAGAACCTTTGATTCCCTTGTTTTCCTAATTTTTTTAAATGTGTATGTTAGTAGATAGTCTAATATATTTTCTTACAGGAAAATGGGCACATTAAAGAGTTATGTAGGTAACAAAGCTCGACCAGAAGGTTGTATTGCTGAGAGATATATTGATAATGAGTGCTTGAGTTTCTGCTCCATTTATTCGGAAGATATTGACTGTATTCGAAAAGAGCGTAATAATGAAATGGAGGATGCGAGTGGTGAATTGTATGTGTTTTCTTCAAAGGGGATGCCATTTGGCGGACCAAAGCATGACGATATAAGTGATTTGGAGCTTAATAAAGTTCATATATTTGTTCTTAATAACACTGATGATGAAGAGATTGAAGAACACATCAGGTAATGTTCCAGTTCATAATTTGAAAAGATAGAGTTATTTTACTTGATTTATTTTCTGCGAAAATTTCTACTAATCGATTTGGTTACGCTATTTTGTAGAAACCACAAGCTGAAACTTGAGGCAGAATGTAGTGCTAACATAGATCAGCGTCATGAAACAGAGTTTCCAGCATGGTTTCGACAACAAGTAAGCTAGTTTTCACCATTTTGTGTACTATATGTGATTCTTAAGATATATTCAAAATTATAACATTTTTAACATTGGTTGGCGGTTGACAGGTTCTTAAATCTTCTTCACTCATGAGAAGAGAAATCAGATCATTGGCATTGGGCCTGGATAGTCGCATTAGAAGATATAGTGGGTGCTTGATTAATGGTTTTAGGTTTCACACAAAGAGTCGTGAACATGATCGGAAGACACAAAACAGTGGTGTTGTAGTTAAAGGGGAACATGGAAATAGTACTATTGACTTCTATGGTGTCTTACTAGATGTCATTCAAGTGGAGTATTATTTAGGAAGAAAAAAGGTGTTGCTGTTTAAATGTGAGTGGTTTAATTTGGGTGATGCTCGTGGCATGCAAGTAGATAAAGAGTCGGGAGTTATTAGTGTAAATGTTTCCCGCACATGGTATTCAGAGCAGCCATATGTGCTTGCTCAACAAGTTGAACAAGTGTTTTTTTTAGATGACATAAAGTTAGGCAAAGATTGGTGTGTGGTTAAAAAAGCTAATCCTCGTAGCTCTTATGAAGTTCTTGAATCTGAACCAGGACCAGTTGATGAGATTATCCAAGAAGAAGAACCGGGATTTGTTTTATGTGTGGACCTTGGAGAGATTCCACAACTTGTTAGGGATGTACCATCACTTAACAGCATTGATGCCACAATTGTGAATGCTGCCACTGCAGAGACTTGTATTGAAAATGACTACGATGATGAATTTATTGATGATGAAGATTGCGATGTTGATTGTGGTGATCAAGCTCTAGCTAATGGTTTTGTTGAAAATGAAGGGCTGTGGACAGATGATGATGAATATGTTGATGATGATAGTTAGGACTAAGTCCCAGCTAATTTACAATTTTGTTGTAATAAATTGTATGGAACTAAGTGTTTAATTGTGTTTGGTCTAAACAATTTGAACTATATGTGATATATATATTTTGCTCTTTAGAATAAATGGTTAAATGATTTGCTATGCTAACTTAAACTTTCTTTTCGATTTTAATAAACTAATCCCTTTTAAATTTGGTTATTAGATGACAGGTCCTGGCAAGGGAAGAAAACCTTTAGTGAAGAAAAGAAGACTTGAGTCTCTCTGGCTTAGAGATTCCATATCATCCCAAGGTCAGAAATCAGCTCAAGGAATGTCTACTTCAACCACTGAGCATAATGTTTCAACAAGTGTTTCACCTTTTCACTTAAGAGATGAAAATGATGAAGGTGATTTTTAAGTTCTTAACTCTTTTATGTTTACCTTTGCTTCACACAAAAATGATGATGATGCTCCACACAAAGTTAAACTCGATGATTGTTACAAACGTGTTGTAGGTCCTGATTCACAATCATTCATCAATGAATCTAGTGCTGTTGCTCACAAGTTTGGGAAGCACAATGTTCCAAAATGGTCTCAGCTGGAAAAGGAAGACCGAGAAGCCATGTGCCAAAGGGTTATGGTAAGTAATTAGGTTGGTTTTTAAACATGTACCTTAGTCAACTCAACTAGCACTTATTAACACATTTTGTAGGCTAAGTTTCCTGATGATTGTGGATGCAAAGATGAAGAAAGCTGTTGAACAGCAAGTCAATAAATCATACAGAAATCGCCGACATAAGCATAGTTGGCTCTTCAAAACATTTAAATCAAAGGAGGAAGCACTAAGACAAGTACCTGATGAGTTCCCCAAGGAAGAGTGGATATATCTCTGCAATTATTTCACTTCTAAAAAATTCAAGGTTAGATATGATACTTTTGTGGATTAAGTGATAATTTGTAATTTATCATTATGTCTAATAGTTAAATTATGGTTATCATTTGAACTGAACTAGGCAATGAGTAAGCGCAACACAGAGAACCGAGCCAAAAACAAAAAGCCAAACTTTACGGGAACCCTTTCTCTTGCAAGGTTCACTGAGCAGCAGATAGCGCTCAATTATTTGTTTCACTCTTGATTGTAGTCATAAAATAAATGTACTTTTCTTTGACATTCTTGATAACTGTAACAGGAAAGGAGTTGGAATGAAGAAAAAAAACTCCCATTGACTTATTTGAATATAGTCGAACCTCAAGGAAGACAGGAACTATGCCTGGGGAAACATCAAAAACAACTTTGGTAACTAATGTGCAATGATTATTGACTTTATAGATTTTTTTTCTATTTTATATTCAATTTAACGCTATTTTTTTTTATGTTAGGGTCAAATGAGAGACTTGGAAAGTGCCGGTTATGAACCTAAAGAGATTTGCATTGCAACAGTTGGGAAACTACCTGGAAGTGCTGGACATGCCTTAACCAAAAGTTATTATGTTGAAGAAGTTTGTCGTGAAAAGGAAAGAGCTGATGTGGCAGAAAAAGAAAGGAAAGAAACAGATGCAAAGTTAGAAAAGATGGCAGTGGAACAAGAAACACTGAGAAAAACATTGGTAGCTGAAAATGAAGTGCTCAAAGAGTCTTTGGCCGTCTTACTAGAGAGGGTTAATCGCATGGAAGCTCAACATAATGCGTAAAAATGTAAGTTTTCATCATTTAATTCCCATTCTCATAAATTGAGATTTGAGTATGTTTATATTTCTAATTTCATATAGTTTTAAAGCTGTTATAAGCTAAGGGTTACTTTTTGTTGAATTAGTCATTCTGTTTCATTCTTCTCTCTCCTTTTTTTGTTCTTTTTTCTTAGATCAAGGTGGCTCTAATTTTTGAATTTTCCAGCATGTTATTCTGTTTAGTTTTCTCTTGCAAGATTTATTGCTGTTGGTTGTAGTTTTTTTCAGCTGAGCTTTGTGTCTTTTGATTGCTACAATGAGGTCAAATTCTACATTTTTAGTACTATTACGTGTTTGTCTTGTCCCTAAGCTGCTTTGATTCAAATAATGTGGAAAATGGCAGATTAGCTTAAGCTTTTCAGAGCACAAAACTCTAACAGAGCACAAAAATCGAGCATGATGTTTCAGTAAAAGAAATATCTTAATGCTGGATCCACACTGCACCTCTGTGATCTTAGTAGTTTACGGGGTCTATATGCTGAATTGTTTTTAAGAAATTATTTGTTGAGCTGACCTTTATGATCTTATTACTAAATTATTTTTATCCTCTAGATTAATTATACTTGTAGTGACTTTGTATGGTGGTTGATGTTCATATAGTTTTCTTTGGATGTTGGTGATGATATTAATAAGCTAAGGGTTACTTTTTGTTTGCTTTGTCATTGTGTTTCATTCTGCTATCTCCTTTTTTTGACATTTTTACTTAGAGCAAGGTGACTTTAATTTCTGAATTTTCCATCATGTTATTCTGTTCAGCTATATTTTTCAAGAGTCTTAGTGTTTTTTCTTTGAGCTGAGCTTTGTCTCTTTTGGTTGCTTTATGAGATTAAATCATTAATCTGTTAGTTTTTGGATTTATTCTTTAGATTTTAGTTGATCCTAGTGTGTCTCTGTTCTTAAGTAATTGTAACATTCTTATATAGTGGTTGGTGATTTCAATTTCACTGCTGGAAATGATGTTAGTTTTGAGTGGCCAAGTGTTTACAATGAACTTGAGTGATGAATCGTGTTAATTGAGGTGAAATTCTTCATTTTTAGCATGTTATTCTTGTCCCTAAGTTTGACGCAAATAATGTGGAAAATGGCAGATTAGCTTTAGCTTCTTAGAGCACGAAACTCAAACATTCTGTTTCAGCAAAAGAAATTTCTTAACGTCGGATCCACACTGCACCTTTATGACCTTAGTAATACTTGTAGCAACTTTGTATGGTTGTTGATGTTCATATAGTTTTCTTTTGATATTGGTGATGATATTAACTTATCCTTTTGAGTATCGTGTATCTCTTACCTTTGAGTTTTCAATATGTCTTAAGACGTAGGGAAATTGAGTTCTCATTGGTGTTTGAATCTTGTAGGTTGGTTGTCTATGAATGACACTCTCTGTCTTTTGGAGGTGAGTGTGACAAAAGTGTTATTATTATTATTATATCACTACTCATTAGTTAATTTGAAATCTTATCAAGATTTCTCCTTTCGTCTGTTTTATTGTGGATTTGTAGGATTCTAATGAAGACTTGCTTCATTCTTTTGACTTGGAAGACGTGGAAAATAGCGATCTTTCTTGCATGTATTTAGTTGTGTTATTTTGTGGTTTTTCGGTATAGTTGTAGCATGCACACTACACTGCTTTCTGGGCTTTTGGTATAGTTATATTGCCTAGACAATTGGGCATAGTTGTTATGTACACCGTCTCGTCGCGTGGCGTCTTTTTGGTATATAAATATGTTTATGATTATAACTTTTAGATGTCATTTTAAATTGATTACAATTTAGTATTTTACGTTTTAATTGGTTGCCGAAAATTACTACAAAATGATGTCAAAGTTTGGTTATCACTATATTAGCCTTTTATAACGATTCTAAGTTGTCATTAGATCGACAACAACCAAATTGTCACATTAGTTACAACATTTGAGTTGTCATAACTTGTCATAATAGTGATAAATTTAAGTCGTCATAACACTAACAAAATTAAGTTGTCATAACAGTGATAAATTTAAGTCGTCATAACAGCAACGAAATTTAGGTCGCCAAAATAGTGACGACTTACAGTTGAATGACAAGATAAAGTTGTCACTATGGTGACGACTTACGTGTTGTCGTTATTGGCTTCTACATTGACGATTCAGTAGGGTTGTAATAAAGAACTCTTTAATGACAGGCCTTTAGCGACGACTCTTCGACAACAAAAATGTCATCATTAAACCTCTTTATTGACAACTTTTTGGGCTTTAGTCACAACTGCAACTTGTGACTAAAGACCCATTTCCTTGTAGTGTAAAGGGGTTGTGAAGCGTGTTATGTTCCAACAGGCCAAAATTACTTGATCAATGTCCAAAACCCTATTGTGATTAACCAAAATTACTGCCCAAGATAATATCAATTGTCCTGGACAGGTATCTCATTGTCCAATATTTATTCTTTTTAATACATTTTATTATTGATTACCTCGTTAAAAAACAAAAGAAGAGAAACAATATCCTCAAAAATTCTAGTATCCAAACATATTCACACGTACTGATTTTCCACAAAGTTGTGGCGACTGAATGTATAACTACTTAAGTACGTACATCGTTTACAATTTGTTCAATCGATTCATAAATTTTATTATTTATTTCATCCATTTCAATTGTTCTTGACAATATATTTTTATTTATTGAATTAGGTTTCGGGCGTAAAAAATAAACGACATGACGTACCAAGATATTCATGGAACATCGGCAACACAAGTGGCGGTGAAATTCGATTGCAGCAAGAAGAATCCGTGCAAAGGGATAACACTTGAAATGTGAAACTCAAATACAAAAATCAACCTGCAAAAGCATTGTGTATCAACGCTGATGGAACTATGTTGGGTTTGACTGAGCCCTCCGGTTGTTTATAGCTAAGGCATCCACATAGGGTTATAAAACAAGATAATCATATGCCGTCTCTATTCCAGAAAAACAGTACGATATTTTAGATTTGAGATTTGTATTATACTAGTTGATCTAGGGCTTGCCTAATTCAAAGTAGGGCAGCTGGACAGGTTTGCTTAAGTCAGAGGCGTTGGATTTTATTGATTCCGCCTGGCTGAGCATGCATATTATTTTCAGAGTATTGATTGGTTCCATATTGATATCATTTTTCTTAAAAGAATTTTATATCATTTTATTGTTTGTGTTTCAAGTCTCAAATTGAAAAGAATGTTGTTTTTTTTTTCAATAAGCTTGAAATCATGGCTTCATATATATCGTTCCCCTTGCCTGTTTCTTTTATTTTATATCTTTTGTTTTTTTTTTCCAGGATACAGTACGTATTGTGGCCACCTTAACTAATATTTTCATTGTCCTAAAATGATAAGTTTGGATTTTCATTTTTAGCATAATTTGTGCTAAAGGATGAAATTTCAAACCGGATAATCAGTTTGTAAAGGAAAAATAACAAATAATCGCTTCAATAAGTGCTCTATTTTATTTCATGCATTTTCCAAAAATATTTAAAGAAAACCCAAATGCGTACGGCTTCTATAGATAAAATAGTATTGTTGTTCTTTCACTTTGAGACTATGCTCGTTTGTTTTGTTTTTCTCTTTATGAAAGGATTGCTCGCGTGTTTGATTGTTTGTCTACTTATTTGTATCTTCTCCCGATCGTAATAGTTTAGACTTTTAGTTCTAAAAATATTTGTTTTAGAAATGCATAAATCTTGTTATGATTGGAAATGTCGATGGAATGTTCATGTAACTGTTTTCCTTCCAAAAGTAAAGTTTTCTGCTTTTGAATGTTTAATTTCGTGTTCTAAGTTCGGTATCTCTCCTCACGGCAATTCAGATAATATTAAGATGCATTTATGAGTGCAAGTAGAAGAAAACGGGTCATGACAATTTCAGAGTCCGCTGACCTTCCACAAAACTGTGAGGAACTTGCAACTATTTATTTACAACGGAAATCCCACTAAAGATGTGAATCACTTACATTTTTTTAACCTTGTGTCAAAGTCACCTTGAGCTCCCATCTCAAAACCAATTGGCAATGAATGGGGTGGCTTTTGGCACTTATAAACAGTGACGATCCTTCACGACACCGATGTGGGATTCTTTTTGTCCCAACACCCTCCCTCAAGCCCAATGGGGTATTTTGGCCCATTGGGGTTACACCACACAACATAATTCACCAGATATACTGTTGGGTCATTCAACAACCCCATACACACGGGTACATACTCCGGATATACTGCCGGGTCAGTCCACAAGTCCGCACACATGGGTCCATAGTTATCACAGGTCCACAGATCGTGGGCTCTGATACCATGACACAAACTAAATGGCTGGTATAAAACATGATACTATATTGATCGGTCCACAGAGGGACTATATATACACATCATTGAGGATTGACGATGGAAACCCTAGTACATACAAAGGTCGAAAATAACCCTATACAAACATATATACATATATCGTAACACCCCCCCTTAAGGTGGAGCATGCAGGTTTCGAATGCCCATTTTGGACAAAAAATAAGAAAACTGCCATTGACCCAAAGTTTTAGTGAAAATATCAGCGAGCTGTGACGCAGTGGGAACATAAATAGGGAAAATGACCCCCTGAATAAACGCATCACGCAAGAAATGACAATCAACCTAGATGTGCTTAGTACGCTCATGAAAAACTGGATTAGCAACAAGATGAAGCGCAGACTGATTATCACAATGAAGGCACATAGACTGAGAATGGTGAACACCCAAACTCAGTAACAAAGCCTTCAACCACTTCAACTCCCAGACAGTATTAGTCATAGCACGATATTCAGCCTCAGCAGACGAACGAGAGACAACTTGCTACTTCTTAGTTCGCCAAGAAATAGGAGAAGCACCAAGAGTAATAAACCAACCAGTGAGAGAACGCCGAGACTGAGGACAACTAGCCCAATCAGAATCACATAACCATAAAGTTGGAGGTCACAATCTGCACGAAGAAAAAT